AGTAGCAGGAGGGGAGGATTGGGCAGGAAGTTTGTTCCACCTGTGATTTGGCACACTTATCCTAGGAGTGATTTCTCCAGTCAGCTGGTTGGGGAAAGGAGCTTGCTGAGCCCAGAAGTAGCACACATCATCTGTCACATTTCACTGGTCCTGTGGCCATGCCTAATTGCAAAGGAGGATGGGAAATACAGTCTACCTACGTACCCAGGAAGAAGAGGAAACATTTTGTTGAACAATAACAGTCTGCCACATTCATCTAGTAGACACAAAAGGGCTTAATAAGAAAGACATGTTGTTTATCTTCTTCCCCTCTTTTATTTTAAAGAAGATAGGCAGAGCATGAAGTAGTTTCAAAGAAAGTAAATGAAAAGCACTGAATACTAGAATACTGGAGTCGGAAGGAAATGTAGAAGATATTTTANTCTAGTAGACACAAAAGGGCTTAATAAGAAAGACATGTTGTTTATCTTCTTCCCCTCTTTTATTTTAAAGAAGATAGGCAGAGCATGAAGTAGTTTCAAAGAAAGTAAATGAAAAGCACTGAATACTAGAATACTGGAGTCGGAAGGAAATGTAGAAGATATTTTATTCCCATCTCCCTTCTTCAGCAACCACAATCAGATAGACAACCTGCTTCTGTTTGAAAACTTCTGGCTATTGGGAATTAACTTCCTAAAAAAGCAACAGCAAGAATCAGCTGAACTTTTTTTTTTTTCCTTTTTGTCTTTTTTCGTGACCGGTAACGGGATCGCAACCCTCAGTGTCGCACCTGTACCGTGACCGGCAACGGGATCAGGGGCCCGCACCGCGCTCAACCAGTGAGCGGACCGGTCTCTATATGGGATCCGAACCCTCAGCAGGAGCGCCACCGCGCTCTCAAGCGCCTCACTCTACCAAGTGCGCCACCGGGCCGGCCCCAGCTGAACTTTTTAACTTAATAGTATTGGTCTTTGTCCTGGGCCCTAACACTTATCCTCATGCAGCTGTCCGTGGATTGAAGAACACTTATCCTCATGAAGCTCTCCCTGACATGCTTGGCCCTGTCTCCTGCCTTTTTGCTTGCACATGCGCAGTTTCTTCAGCCTCACTTACAGTGCCTTTCCCTAAGGTAGTTCTGAGCAGCGCCTCATTCTCTGAGTGCATAACAGCCCTTGGTCTGAATAAATCCCATCCCATAATACAGCCTAAGTTTGTGGTAGATTGTTTTGGTCCCCACATAACATACTTATAAACAACAGTGTTATCAAAGGTTTGGAAGGTAGGGACTTTGGAAAAGAAGAAAGGATTTCTGATAATTTAGCCAAGAGAAAGTGAGTGCTTTAATTGTTGCCTTCAAGAATGAAGAATCTGATGTTCTTCCTCAATACCGAGGTCTGGAAAAAGGACATTTATTTAATTGTAGCAGCCGAGGTTTGTCTTGAATCAAGGAAAATTGTCTGTATTGATTACTGTAGACACACTATTGCAGTGGTTTTAATAGAAATAGAACTAAAATGTCAATGCCAATGTAGATGGGGCCTGATGACATGGCAGAGGATCTGGGAGAAGAACTCAGCAGTAGCAAAAGTAATAGCTGGAGACGGAGACGTAGCCCTGGAGATATCTGATGAACAGCAGGGTTGGAGAAAGATAGTTATTAAAGGTGGGGCTGAGAGTTATTGTTATTCAAATAATAAGAGGCCAGTACAGCAGAAAAAACAAGAATGAGTTCACTGGTTGAACGTATGCAGAGACTTTGATAAGAAAGAAGAAATTCGTTGGTAGCTTCACACTGACTTCCGTCTTCTGCTTGGGGAGTAACCTTATGAATTGAGCTTTGACAATCTGCTGCATTATGTTCTACCAATTAATAAAAGGAGAGAAAACAATAAATAGTCTTTTATTGTAACCAGCCAAAAAACAACTACATCAAAGGCTTTAGCACAGTGATGCAGCATGGACAATATGTTCTAACGGAAATCCACCCAGTGTTTCATTGGCTATGAATGTAGTAGGTGAGATAAAGTAGTCAGGAGAAAGACCTGTTATTTTTCAGAAAGAGTAAAGGAGGGATCCATTGGCTTACAGGCTTCAGATCTTGGTTAGAAAATAATTCAACAAATTAGATTAAAGTCCAACAGCTTGACTGTTACAGAATCATAAACTTGGGTTTTCTTGTTTGTTTTGTTTTTTGATACCTTAGAAATGATTTGAGTCAGTTTAGAGCTACTTATTATACAATTTTATTGCTATAGTTGCTATTGTGAGGCCTAAGTGTAGTACTCACGCATGTAAGAAGAACGGAAAGCACAACGCTAACTAGCTCCTGAGGGCCCTCTGTATGTGTGGATATGCACATGTAGTGATAATTCCTGTGCACAGACCATAAACCAAGTGAGCCTAACAAGCTGCTCTGAGGGCAGCAGCCTGGCAAGGACACAGTAGCTATGAGTGGGCACAGACCATCCCACTCCAGACATTCTTTGGGGATCATCCTTTTGGATGAGGTTTGTTTAGCTCATGGACTCTCTACCATTCACAGGCTGAACGGCAAGCAGTCAAACCAATCGCAGTTTGTCGAGCTGTGCCAATAGTTACTTTAGACTTTTTGACAAGGATCAGATCAGCTCTATGGCAGTTATCAGGCACTTTGTAACTGACATGATCATAACAAAAAATCTTTTTCTTTTTGTCCATAACAAAAAATCTTAAGTGAACACCATGTAACCTACACAGATAGGATCTTAAGCTAAAGGAAGCTATTAGCCAGGGAACGTGTAAAGAAAAAAAAGGTTTGAGAAAGAATTTGAAAGAAAAGACGCTAATAATACAACTTAGGGAGACTCAAAGAGATATTACTTATTTATAACAGGAAATGGTAACAATTGATGCCATCACAAAGCAGCCAAACCATGTAAGAATGAAAACAGTTTGTAATCGCAGTCAACAACTGGAAAAAGAACAACGGTGACTTCTGCTTCGTAATGTCCCTCTCCTATAAACTCCTGCTAGTCTCTATTCTAATGCAGGCTCATTAGCGAACACTCAAATACTAGAGATAATTAATTTAACACCTTGTCAGACTTAAATATTTAAATTAGTAGGTTTTTTTTTTTTTTGTCCTTTTTGAGACTGGCCGCACCACGCTCAGCCAGTGAGCGCACTGGCCATCCCTATATAGGATCCGAACCCATGGCAGGAGTGCTGCTGCGCTCCCAGCGCCACACTCTCCCGAGTGTGCCATGGGCTTGGCCCTAAATTAGTAGGTTTTGATTACAACATGTCTGATCTGATTCTCCCACCCTAGCAGTGTATGTAAATGTTACAGACTTCGGGATGAGAGAGTTGATGGTAGACTACAAACTTCTGAGGTTAGGATATAAGGAAATAGTCTTCTTGAAGTCTTCAAATCTCCAATAATTCTTTGTCTTATGTATTATATATGTTCCTATCAACATAGGACACTATGAATAATTAATTAAGAAAGCATTTTTATATATTACCTTGTTTGCCCCTAATGACAATTCCATGAGATAGTTATGGCAAAGCTACTATCGTCATTGTATTGATGAGGATACTTAGGCTCCAAAGATGGCATGACTTTCCATGGCTATGTGACCACCACCAAGAGGAAGTTCCAGGAAAACACTCAGATCTTATGGTGCCTTTCATCCCCGTTCTCCTAACAGTGCACTGTTCTGTTCTTTGGAACACTTTTCCCTGTGAATACTAGGAGTTTTTTAAAAATTGTTATACTGACTGGGCTGCATATTAAATATAGAAGGATCTTACACATGTAATGTTACCAATATGGAAACACTAATTATTTTTGAATGAATGTATCATAGTTGAAAATAGTATCTTTCCATAGAAAATCACAGAAGTCTAATACTCGTAGCTCATGATGAATTGCAACAGCTTTGATGAATTCCAAGTAGAAACAAGCAATGGTTGGAGTTCAGATTTATTTTATTTAGAGAATGATTTTTGCTTGTTTTTAGGGACAGTTGCTGCTACACCCAGTCTGCAGGAGAACTGAACTCCTATTAGTCTTTTACCCACTGGCCAGTAACTACTATGTCACTGTCACAGAAAGGTTTCCAGCTGAACTTTTTAGAGATGTAGATTAAACAAGTTGCATGAGAGTAATAAAAGACTCTGAGGATATGAGTATAGCAAGAAAAGTAGAAAGGATACTACCTTAATTTTTTTTTAAAGTATATAAGCTAAATAGCATTCACTGGTGAATATAATTACTTTGCTGGGGAGCTTTTTATAAAAGAAAGAATATGGGTTTTGGGGTCTGATTTTGATAATATTAAACACCTTTGCATAGAAAAGAGAAACTTCTGCTTTGTCTATTGAAGGATTTCTAGGGCTGTGTCTGTCTTCTCCTGAGTTCTATTTCATGCATGTGGATTGACAAATAACTCGTATTAGCAAAATAATGTATACTTTTATTAGCATATAAAATAAGAAGAAGAACCCTTTATTGTTCACACCTTTTTCTCTATTTTTGGAACATATGAAGCAGTTTTCTGTATTTTTTAGAAAACTTTGCTTGTGTTTGAAAATGGCTTTGTAAAAGTGCTTTTATAACTCAAAAAAAAAATGAGAATATGCATCTGTTGATAATTCCATCAAATTTTAAGATCCAAGGGTCCTAAAAACTTTGCTTGTGTTTGAAAATGGCTTTGTAAAAGTGCTTTTATAATTCAAAAAAAAATGAGAATATGCATCTGTTGATAATTCCATCAAATTTTAAGATCCAAGGGTCCTTTACTTATATAGAAATAAAAAATTTGATTTTTACTTATGCAGAATAGAATCTTTGGGCCTCCAAAAATCATTTTTCTAGGAAGTTGAATTCTGCGCCTAAACCAATCCGCTTGTCTCCAGTCATATATTTGAATTGCTCTGGAACATGACTGTATGTTTCTATCCAGCAGCTCCATTCTTAAACAGGAAACCCAGAAACACAAAAATAAACACACAAATCCTGTACTGTAAAGAAAAGGAGCTGCCTATGAGATTTCATGCCTTAAAGCTGCAGTGGCCAACTGAGTAATGGAGACTCACATGTGGGGTTTACCTGATCTCAACCCGATTTAAATCCTGACCATCTCTCAGAGCAAGGCCAAGATTGTGTAACTTTGCTTCATGATTTGGCTCATATCTGGAGATTTGGGGTTGCTGGAGTAGAAAACTGAACTCTAAGAGAATTATAGAATCAGGTAACTGAGCACTGTCCTGGTGCTCAGGGGACAGGTTCAGACCTTCTTAGCCTGTAACTAACCATGTAGAACTTCCTCTCTGTGTCTCAGTTTCCTTCTTGGTAAAATGAAGGAATACACCAGTGTATTCCAATGTCTTTTAGCAGTTGAACAACTTTTTACAATGAAATCATATATAAAGTTCCAATGCAGAAAACAGAAATGCAGAGGGGTTTGCTTGGTATTGAGATGGTGAAGCTGAAGCCCTCACTCACCAACTCGGCCTCCCTTCGGTGCTCACAATGGTCCCTGAGTTATTTCTGCAAAACTCTTGATTTCTGACAATTTGAAGATGCATCAAATAATTATTAGGGCCTAAAAAATCTAAAAAGTTTAAGAACTTAAAACTTCCTGACCATCTACAGCTTATAAATATGGTGACACAGGCAAGCAGTGCTTTGCTTTAAAATGGCACAAGAACTTTTGCACAGCCTGTACTTTAAGGAAGGGATTTCCAATTATCTGTAAAAAGGACTATTTTAAATTCTCCCCAAGACTTCAGATCACTTAATTTAAGTAAAGAGTCTCCTGACAGTGTTGTCCCAAAACAGGTGTGAGGTGATGTATGATTCAATGATTGTTAATGACTCTTCCCTTTTCCCTGCCCCAACCCTCAAAGGAATTTGAAAATGGGGGAGAATGGTGCGCTAGCTGAGAATAAAAGGCAAGGGGTGCTACTTCCCTGTCTCCTTTCTAAAAACCCTGCGGAGCTGTGAAGGATGAAGAAAGGCCAATGGTGGCAGAAACTGGCTTAGAGAGACAAACTTTGAATTCTACAGATAGATAGTAGTTGGAAGTCAAGCAATCCCAGTTAAAAAAAAGTAAAGAGTTTTAAAATTGTAAGTTCCAGATGTTCTCATTTGATAAATCATATGCAAATAAGAACTCTCTTTCCATTCATTTGCAATGTCTTTGCTTTATTCTTCTCTTGCATGACTGCAGGATACTTTCTAGCTTATGAAAATCCTGGCACAATACTCACAGTGCCCTCAAATATAGTGTCTTATGACCACCTATCATATGCATTCAAAATTATATGCAAGTGCACTGAAGAATCCTGTGCCTGCAGAAAAGAAACCGTATTATTCACATTGCAAATGCAGCATCCCTTTGGGCCTGTGGAGAAACACTTCATGTATCATGAATTAACTATTGACCATAAGGAATGCAAGTTAGCCACTAACTGGTCAATTGTCTTTAATGATCAAAATGTAGAGGGTCTCCTCCTTTGACCAACAGAATTGAAATGCAGGGGCAGAGCATTTGTAGTTCCTGAAGGTCTTGTTCAAGAGCAAATCAACTGTAAGGTGTGGGGAAATTGTATTGCTGCTTCCTCAAAAGAGCATGGTTTATTCATATGTTTTGATTCCCTCCTAGTATGGTGTGCATTATACAGGGAATTTAGCAAGGCAGGCCATAATGGAGAAAGGGCATTTTTACTGGAACAGTTTCTTTTTGTTAAACAGCCAAAACTTTCCTCCATTCTGCTCTAGTTGTATTTTAATACTAGCCAAAGTCTGTTTAAAATACTTGTGGCCAATTTTTATTATACTGTGGTTCCACTGTAGTTATGTAAAGTGGCTATTAAGTACTGTGGTTATGAATCGCTTGGAGAGCCCCGTAACATTTTTACCGGCTTGTTCTGTTCTGTGTTCCTTTCATAGGATATCAATAACGAGAGTGACAGCTGACATTTCTCTTGCCAAGAGGTCTGTCCTAAATAATCCCAGCAAGAGAGCAATAATTGAACGTTCAAACACACGGTCCAGCTTAGGTAAGATGTTCAAATGTGGTATTTCTCCAAGCTGTGTTTTCATGGTATGACACATGGTGCATTTGTGAATGTCTTTTTCAATCTGCTCCCCTTTCTGAATGGGGAATCCCTGAATAACTGGAGAAAAGGCTAGCATGGACCAGAAGGGAGCACAGTCCTGCAACAGCCAGAGCCCACTCCCTCTCAGCTCTGGTCAATTAGCTAATTAGTAGTCTGGTGGGAAGAATCCTCAGCAGCCTCTCCTGGTCTGTTACTGCCTATCGACGTGAAACCACTCATCTCTACTTTGCCTAAGCTTTTCAATGAGGCTTATAATGTCTGTCATACCTGAGTCACAGCTGACATGAGAGGAAATGAGATATTCAGCCTTCTCAGATCTTTAGAAGAAGAGCTAGATAATGATGTTCTTAGTGCTGCTTCTGCTGCTAGCTGGTGGTATGAAGAATAGTCGCATCTTTAAGTGGCAATGGCAACCATCATTAATAACATGCAGGTAGTTTAAAGATATCTTTGTTGGGATAGCAGTCAGAAAGCATCTCAAAATTTACCATGATGGAGAAGAATAAAAAGCTATAAGTGATTAGCTCCATCAAGCTACAGGTGGGCAGGGCTGTGGAGGATGAAATCATCATCCACAGAAGCGAGTCCATGCTGCTGGAAAAGCACATATTCATCTTGAAAGCCTGTTCGTAGTCTCCACGATTGTCAGGAGTGGTATAGTCTACTCATAACTTCCTAGGATTCTTTTTTGCATTCGTATTCTGGAGGCAACTTGTTTTAACTAGAAAAGATAGGGTTCTTCCATGCCACTGCATTTTTTTTAAGCTACTGAAATGAGCACTATAGATGATAGAAAACTAAAAAAGAAAATAGGGTTTCCGAGATAGAGTGCATGACGTAAAATCCCATCAAGGATCCACTGAAGGCTGTGCCTTGACCCTGAGTCAAGGGTTATATAAATTGGAAAGAAGATACAAAGAATCATCTGTGTATTCCTGACATGGGATTGGCACATGGTAATTGCCAATAAATGTTGGGTGGTTGCTTTGTGAAAGAATGTTAAACATACCAAATGGAAGAGTTATCGGCACCTGTGAGGGGAAGATCCCAGAGAGTAGTGATTCCTTCTTTAGTCCTGTGTTTACAGCCTTCCATGAAGAGTGACACTTTCTTAAAGGCACAGTATCTTGACCTTGAGGAGGTGACAATGGCAGTGTTGATAGTGAATCAGATTAGCTAACTGACTAAAGTCAAATATCATGGGTGACAAGATGTTAAGTTAGGCTGAAGATTTCTCAAATAAAAGTCTGTTCTCTGGTCTGCTGTCTTCAACCCTCCTTCTTACTTCTTGTAATGCCTTTGACTTTTAAGCCCTGTTTCCTCTGCTGTATGATGAGAGGTTAAAAGACACATAAAAGCATAAGCTATGTTGCCTGACTCCTTCAGCTGTCTGCATCTGCCAAGGGCTTCATGGGCAGTCTCTGAAGTCATTTCTTACAATACAGTCGCCTGTTGTCAGAGTCAGCGGAGTGGGTGGGGTGGGATTACTGTAAATGTTGAGGAAAAAACAAAGTAGATCTTCACTGGTTTTTACCTTGACCCTGTAGAGTTGTATACTCATAACCTGTGGAGTTAATTTAATGACAGTCTATTATAACCACTGTGTTAGCTACTTATATCCATATGACCGCTTGTTAGTGCACATTTGTAGATTACTTCATCAAGTATTTATTGAATACTTGGTATGTGCCGTGTATTATGCTAGACTTAGGAAATATAGACATAACTAAGACACAGTATCTAACCCATGGACAAAAAGAAAAAAGGGATGGATGGTTAAAACACTCTGTGTTAATGGAATTATGAACAAAGAGCTAGGGCTATAAAGGAGAAGGGTGGGGGCAAGAGGTATGTGAGAAAACTTTCCAGAAGTTATATTTGAGCTGGTTCTTCAAAGCAGACAAGAATGTACAAAGACATCGACATATATATTAAAAAAGTGCATTTGAGAAACAAGTGGATTTGTGCATAGCATGTTTAGAAAAGGAGATTGAAAAAGGATATGCTTAGAAAAAGTAGACTGAAGCCAATGTGTTAGGGTGCTAGCGTGCCTTGCAAAAGTGACCTCCAAAATAGATTGCAAGAAATGTTAATTTTACAAGATAGTAGTAATTCTTACATACAATGTTTTCCGTGGTCAAATACATTTGGAAATGGTGAATTAAACATTGGCAGATTTCTTCACTGCCAGGCCTTTAAGATATGAAGATTAGCACACATTTGAAATTCCAAGAGAAGCTATGTAGTATGCAATATATCCCTTGCATAAAACCCTCTTCTTCCCATAGGATATCTTATGAGATTACTGTTGCAGGGTACTCACTTTTCAAAATGTTGCTTTGGGCCCTAGGGAGCCATTGAAGCATGGGAGAAATCTGAACAGATTTGGGTACAAGGAACATCATGGTGGCCGACATCCTGGAGAGACATGGGCCCAGATCAATTGCAGTGGGGTTGTAGAAGTGTTCATTGAGGTCCTCCAGCATCGGGGTCTATGACTGCCTAGAGCTCCATTTTCCTGGAATAGAATTATGAGGAAACCTTCATTGAAACCCCTCTGAGAATTGGTCTGGGTAACCAAGATTGTTTGGTTTGGTTTAGATTTTTTTCTTTAAGAAAATGAGCTATGTAGATAAATATGCCTGTCTCTTCCTCACGCATACAACTTATTTATTGCATTCTCTACACATATTATCCAAATATCCCCCCACCCCCATTAAGAGTGGCCCTCTGGCTTGTTCTTGGCTTGCTCCGCCCAAGCACTTTTCTGCTTTTGCCAGACTGCCCATTGCCTAAGAGTTTTGTGTTGGTTAAGCAATAGGTGTGCTGCACTCTGCTCCTGTCAGAAACACATGTAACCTCATTGCTGATGCAGAATAAATATGGTCCAGGTATTTCTGAATCATTTATGCAGAGACTCAGGTACCTTTGAGATCTCTTTGTACCAGGGCAGTCCAGTTTGCATCACTGTTTTTACTGCTTCAGAAAATATTGTATTCGTATTGGAAGCTTAAAACAACATAGACTACTTCTGGTATAATCCTGGCCAGGAGCTCCCTTAAACTGGTGGCAGTTTAATAGAAACAGCAAATGGAGAACATACCCCAACATCCTGAGGCTGAAACTTAATACAATAAAAATTGATTTTATTTTCCAAACTTCCTTCTTAAGAAAAATTTCTTTTTAAATTGTTTCTGACATGTAAGAAAAAAGGGACAAATATATTTATTATTACTAACAAATGTAGAATATAATATCAGAAGAAGTTGGCAAATAAATTACTTACTTGTCCAGATTCTTTAAACTGATATTCTGAAAGCTAGTCACCTTTCAAAACAACATGAAATCTTTCAAGCCATTAGTATTAGATAATATGAAAAGTAGTAGATATGTTGATTCTTCAAATTCATACTTTTTAATGCAGAGCATGCATTAAACATCAGTGATTCTATGGGAAATAACAATTTTATGCTATTACGCAAAGCCCAAGGAAATAGAGTTACATGATAGTCTTGAGTATTCCTGAGTCTGCATACCTTGTCAATCCCTTTGGATAAGGAAGGGAAATTGTTTTGGTGGGTGACATGAAGTTGAATTATTACGGGATAAGCAAAGCAAATCTTGGGATTCTGGCACAAACCCTTTTCAATGAGGATATTTAGAGCAGCAGCACCTTTTTCCTAGGCCATCTTTGAAATAGTTTATGTTAAGTAGCTTTGTCTTCTCTGTGTACTTTGAACCAAATTACAAGATTGCTAGGTGATGCCTATAGCCAAAAAATAAAAATAAGTAAAAAACAAAACAAAATCATCTCTCCGAAAATTAAATAGTCTAATTCAGTCTTTGGGCATGATCCAGTAAGTCAGGTGATTTATGATATGTGTGTGTGTGTGTGTGTGTGTGTGTATTCTGTAAAAGTATTTGAGAAAGCCATTATTATGTTTTGATAATCTGTTTTCTGTTAAGAAATAGCTGGATTGCTTCGGACATTTAAAAAGAACTAGATTTTTTATTTGATCAGACTCACGCACAGATTCGGGTCACTTGACCATTACAGCCTACCAAACAGTTTTGCATCTAGATGCATTGCAGCATTTTAATATAATTGGTCTTAGTTTTGGGTTTTGTTTTTTTTTTTTTTTGATACTGAAGATGCCTTAGAACAAGTTCACTGGCTCTAATACTTAAATTCAGACAGTAAATATGCTAGTTGTAAGAGTAGACTCAGAACAATTAACCAGGGATGCAAAAATGGGCATATCAGTCAAAACAAGTGAGTTGTGTGGTGGGGGGAGGCTTAAAAAACATATACACAAAATATTAATATGTAACTTGTTGATAGAAATACTTCACTGTAATTTACTTTCCACGTGGTGTTGGTTTGCATATATATTTCAGTTGTTTCTTAAATGTGGTTTCAGCTTTTACAGCTAAAATGAAAGTTCTTTAAAACAAAGCAACAATCAAAAACAACACAAAATAATCACCATAGCTATATAAATAGCTAAATATTAGGTTGATTGTAAGAAGCAAATCAAGAGAGTCATCTCAGTTTTTTCTACCAACTGGTTTTATGCAAAACTCAACCTTTCTCTATATTTAGAAAAGATCTTAAATTAAACAGGACTGTGAAAATTCAAAATGCTTTGTTTTGCAATGTAGACAGACATATCTGAAAGTGTACTATTTCTCTTTAATATAAGAACTAATTATTAAGAATAACCAGGACCTATTATTTATTATTCTCCTTTTAGCGGAAGTGCAAAGTGAAATTGAAAGAATCTTTGAGTTGGCAAGATCTTTGCAACTGGTTGTTCTTGATGCAGACACCATCAATCACCCAGCACAACTTATAAAGACATCCTTAGCACCAATTATTGTTCATGTGAAGGTCTCATCTCCAAAGGTAATTAGCTCATTTTGGTCTTAAGGATTAGAACTGTATTCTTTTGAAATATGGTTTGCTCTGTGCTTTTTTGTTAGTGAGCAAGGAGAATGTCTTGTTGAGACTCTGTTAATCAGCACATTTTAAAATTCCCACAGTGCATAGGTTCTAGAAATTTTGAGATAGTAAATAAAGAATAGTCCATTTCCTTTTTTTTTTTTTCCTTTTTGTCTTTTTTCGTGTCCGGCAAACGGATCACAGTCCTCAGTGTCACGCCCGCACCGGACCGGGACCGGCAACGGGATCGCAAACCTCGGTGCTGCGCCCGCACCTCGCTCAGCCAGTGAGCGGGAACCGGTCTGTATGTGGGATCCGAACCCTCGGCGGGAGCGCCACCATGCTCCCAAGCGGCGCACTGTAGCAGTGCGCCACAGGGCCGGCCCATGAATAGTCCATTTCTTCAAGAAGCTTACTTGTCTATTGTGGCTCCTAAACCAGACAGTTATGCAAGTATATAATAGAAAACAAAAAGTTAAGAAAGGTGAGGAAAATTAGACTCTGGCTTTTCATAGACTAAAGGTGCTATTTTGGTAAATTTCTTGGATAATGTTGATTCTCGTATCACCTATATTCTCTCCCCAGTTGAGGGAGCATATAGCTCAAGAAAGGTAGCTATATTTATCATACATAAAGTAAAATATCACTACGTAAACATCTCTAATGGAAACATACAGACCCAGACATTTGTGCTTAGGTTGGGTTCTTGAGAAATATAGTTATTCTGTGATTAAACATAATGGGAAATTTGCCATATATCTTTATGCCATTGGGGGAGATAACAATAAAAGTGAACCAGCCTGAAATCGGTCTCCTTTGATTTGGGTATCCTTTCATTTTTAAAAAGTGATGATGTTTTAAAAACTTAATATGAAATAGATACTCTTGAGAGGTATTATCTTTTTCTTTTTTTTGTCCTTTTTTTGAGACCGGCTGCACCGTGCTCAGCCAGTGAGCGCTGTGAGCGCACCGGTCATCCCTATATAGGATCCGAACCCGCGGCGGGAGCGCTGCTGTGCTCCCAGCGCTGCACTCTCCCGAGTGCGCCACAGGCTTGGCCCTTGAGAGGTATTATCTTAATAATCAGTTTATTTTCAGTGCCTCCTAGATTGTATTTTAATGCCTAAATGCAAACTCAACTCCCAACCAGAATGGTAGTCTCTCATGGTACAGAACATCTAAAGAAGCTGTGCTCTTCTGCAAACCTTCTGAGGTCCTCAGCCTTCCATCTCTCCAGGCATTGTTTCCGTGTAGTCAACTTGCAAATCCTGACCAAACCAGGTCTTTTTGGGAATCAGTAGAATGGATTGAAATTGCCTTGACTGCCTGGAGGTCTCTGACCCAGAGCTGCAAGGATTCAAGCACCTTTCACTGTAGTGGGGGAGATGTCAGCCCTTCCCATTGCCCCAGTCTCTATGGTGTCCTTAAGTGCAGGAACAGAGGTTCTCATGGACCTGGGTGCTGGGATGTTATAGACTAGCACTGTTTTGGAGGGGAGGGCCCTGTTTCAGCTAAAAAAAATAGAGAGAGAGGAGTATATGGCCAAATGGAGTTGTGACAGTTGCCAAAAGATATAGGTTTATCACTGGTTTGTATGTAGCAATGTACCAGTGCAAATGTTTTGCCTAGATTTCCAATCAAGAAGTAGTCTGATTAATTTAAAATTAAACTGGAATGTCTAATTAATTATCAGTGACAAAAAGACCAAATTGTATATGACTCTGATATTTATCTGACATGGAGATAATGAATATTACTCAACTGAATAATATCACTGTATTATTCAACATAAATCACCTGGTACAGACCAGTTCCTCCACTTTTGCAGGGCTCTCTTTGAAATCTCTGGGTAAAATCTAGGGTGGAAATCAAGATCCCACCAAGACCTCACACGGAACTAGAATAGGATCAAATCCATTATAACTAAAAGCCAGTGTAAGTGGATGATATCATTACCAGTTTATATTTATGATTTCTCACATTGTATTTCCTCTCTACTAATATTCAGAGCTAAATAGACTATAAAAAAGATCCTGATTTATTTTATTTTCTTTCAGCTTATTGACAATACCTCATTCATTTCTTCTACCAGGTTTTACAGAGGTTGATTAAATCTAGAGGAAAGTCCCAAAGTAAGCACTTGAACGTTCAACTGGTGGCAGCCGATAAACTTGCGCAATGCCCTCCAGTAAGTATAATTATTTTTGTCTTCATCATTCTTGATTAGTCAGAAGAGGGAGGTTATTTTTCATATTAGCATTGTCATTTTTATTCTGGAATGATGGTGATGATACGTTGTCATAATCTAAAGGATTTCTTGGAACAATCTACTGCTGTCATGTTGCTTGTACTTGGGCATCCAGAACTGGATGGTGTCTGCCTTGGAATAAGAAATGAACTTAGTGTTGGGTGTCTACCCTCTTTGCTACTACCTTGATGACCTTGCAAACACTCAGCAAACCACTTAGCAGCCAGCAGCCAGTCATGTGGACACTTTTAAAGAAAGAAAAGAACAAAATAAAACATACATTTGACTTTATGCCAGCAGGTGTAAAAGATTATAATGTTGAGTGTCAAGAATTGAGGGCCGGCCCGGTGGCGCACTGGATAGTGCGCTGCTTGGGAAGCGCGGCGGCGCTCCCGTCCGAGGGTTCGGATCCCACATGCAGACTGGCTCCCGCTCACTGGCTGAGCGAGGCACGGGAGCAGCGCCGAGGCTTGCGATCCCGTTGCCAGTCCCCGGTCCGGTGCGGGGGTGACACTGAGGGTTGCGATCTGTTGCCGGACACGGAAAAAAGACAAAAGACAAAAAAAAAAAAAAGAATTGATTGGAACTAGAACAGCCCTGTGGTTGTAGCAGATGAAAGGGTCAGGGTTGTGTGATGTGGAAAATTGCATTATAGTGACTTTTCCTGTAGGGCCATTGGCAGAAAAGAGCTGTAGGCTTGGAAGGCAAGCAATGGTGGGCTGTCACATGGCCCTGGGTTGACTTACTATGAGCGTACTTCAAAAAGTTCATGAAAAAAAGAATTGAAAGATAATACGAATCTTTCCATGAACTTTTTGAAGTACCTTCGTATTTCTGTCCTTATGTTTCTCTAAGGGAAATAACTGTCTTTCTTACTCAATTGATTTACTAGACTTTTTTATATACTTGTGTAAGGATTGTTTATGTTCTGTAGAAGCATAAAATCCACTTCAAATGTTTAGAAAGACAACACAGCATAGCTGTGAAAAGCACAAACTCTGTAGCTGGATGCCTGGGTTCAAATCCACACTAACTAGTTATATAATCTTAGGAGGTACCTACACCATGGGGTAGATGTGAGGATTCAGTGAGTGAATGTGTGACAAAGCTCATAGAACAGCGCCTGGCACGTGGGAAACACTGTCTAGGTGTTTCTGTTGTAATTACCAGATGCACTTTGCACTACACCATATCTGTTCTGTTAGACTCTGTAAGGACCGGTGCCTCTCTGGTTCACTGTTGTACCTCACTGTTGTTCCCTGTTTAAGGAGGTCCATAATAAATATTTGTTGAATAAGTGAATGAATGAAAAGATGTACAGGCGGTAAGAATAATAATGCATCCTTTCATTAGATACTTAAAGTGGACCAGACTGTGTGCTAGATGCTTTACACATACTGTCTCTAATCCTCACAGATGCCTAGTAAGATAGGCATTATCATCCCCACTTTATAGTTGAGGCAACTGAAAACAGAGGGGTTAAATGATTTCCCTAATGTCACATAGCAAATTAGGGTGAGATCTAGACATATCTGGCTCCAAAGCCAGTTTGCTCACCTCTCACGCACGCACCCACACGCACGCACCCCCGGCCACACACACACACGCATGCACGCACGCACACACGCACGCACACACACACACACACAAACACACACACCTGGTTACCTACCGTGCAGATAATTTGGATAGCTTGGAGCCTGGAGTGCTATGTTAAGAAGTTTAATTTCACATTGCCTACTAATGAAGTCCACTCACACAGTGGAGTGTGTGATTAAAGTACTGAGCAAATATGTACAGAAGAAAGAATTACCTAGCCCCTGGCCCTATCATATTTCACAGTTGAAGGAAGATAATCTTTATTGCCCAGCTGCCAAAAGCCAGGAACTATGCTATTATTTCCAATTTTTAGAACAATCTTCTAAGGATAGTTAAGTCAGTTTGGTCTTCTGGTAAGCAAACACCTAAATAGAATTAGAAGCGCAGGAGATTTATTGGAGAAAATACCTTTTCTTTTTATAAGTATGTGTTTATTAACATTTATTCATAATAATTACTAGAGAAAATACGTGGGTCCTAAAATTGAGGTATTTTAGCTGCCAAGAAGGTTGATTGTTAAGTAGTTGGGCATATAGTACAGCTTGTTATATCCAAAATATCTAGACAAGGAAAGATATGTGCATACATAAATGAAAGTGATAGTCTGTTCCCTTAGGACTTGGAATCTCCCCAGGTCAAGAGTTAAGTAGTTGGGCATATAGTACAGCTTGTTATATCCAAAATATCTAGACAAGGAAAGATACGTGCATACATAAATGAAAGTAATAGTCTGTTCCCTTAGGACTTGGAATCTCCCCAGGTCAGGAATCTCCCCAGGTCAAGTATCTCAAACAGTCCCATGCATGTGGAAGACAGCCTTACCTATTATTATCTCAGCAGGATAAATACTTCCTTGTTTTATATATTTGGTCAGATAACCTGGAATTTTAAGCAGGCAGTCTGGATAAGTAAGGTTTCTTTGTACTCAACATTTTCTAAACACTGTTTACTTTAGTAAACATGTTCATTTGATATTACATGAATAGTATTTGTAATGCTATGAAAGAATCATATGCTCTATTTGTGCATATGTGAAAAAATCTTTAGATTATAAAAACCAGTGGTAGTTTTAAAATGAGTCTGCATTTGTCCCAGCTTTACTTCAAGACAACAATTATAATTGTCATCCAAAGACTGGGGATCACTGTGTCATTTTGGTTCCTTTGGAAGAATTTGCAGCTTGCTTAATTGGCTACTGCATCTCCAATCTAAAAAGTCAGCAAATTATACTGGCAGCAGAGTCTCACACTGCTAAAAAATTAAAGGCAGCAGTTTTTGGAAAGAGAAGTCTAAAAGAGCACTGAAAAAAAGTTAACTCTCTGTAATCAGAAGAATGAATCCTAGACTCAGAGACTATTGGAGCAAAAATGGATCTTAAAGAGCCCCCAAGACAGTATTTCCTGGAGTGTGTTCTTTACAATAAAGGTTTCATGTGATGTCAACTGCTGTTATGGGAAAAGATTCCTGAAACAAAAAATGTTTGAGAAAACATTTACATCAACAAAAGTAGTCTGGTTTCTCTGCTGCAGAACCCTGAATATGCTAATTTTCATTTTATCTCCAATAGGATAGATAGTGTATAGTGCTTCCCTAAAATGGGGTTATAGATCTGTTTTTCCACAGATCATCCTATGGGTCCAGTGTTTCATGGAATGCTTCTAGGGAAAGATTGATTCAGTTCAATCTCCTCATTTTCGAATGACTGAACTAAGACCAAGAGAGGTGAACTGGCTTTCTGAAGGTCATAACTTTGGCCAAAGTCAGCATAAGGTCTCTGTCTCCTATTCTAGCAAGACTTAAATGGTTAATAACAGGCTACTTATTTTACGTTCTTCTGGAGAGAGAATCATGGGTTTTATGGGTAAGGCTTTTTCCAGGAGCAGGATCAATAAGATTGTTTAGTAAAGGGCCAAAGAGTAAATATTTTAGGCTTTGTGGGCCATATGGTCTCCTTTGCAAAACTACTCAACTCTGCCTTTGTAGGAGGGAAGCAGCCATAGACAACATGTGAACAAATGGGAATCGCTGTTTCATTCAAACTTTGTAAAAGCAGGAGGCAGGCCTGATTTAGCCAGAAGACTGAAGTTGCCACCCTTGTGCCAGGACAGGGTTGTTGTTACCTATTACTGTGCAATAAACTACCTCAAAACCTAGCAACTTCAAACAATACATCAGATTAATGTGAACTTTAAAAAAACACTGGGTGACTTTTCTGCAGACAGTAACACTGGCCAATGTTATATATAATCTTTGAAGAATAAGCATAGAGAGGTGGAGGGTGTGGGGAGGAAAACGTGTTTGGGTTCGTAATGAATGTCACAAATCATTAGGAGAGAGGTACTAGAAGAGGTCGAAGTCACTATACTCTTTGCCTTCGTGTTACCCCCACCAATTAGTGGCAAGAATTCTGATTGTCTTTCCTGTTTAGCTCATTAAAGTGGAAACTATGTGAGATGAACTTCTAGAGCCCCATAATACTAGTAGGCTTTCCTTTATCCTCATAAGCCCTCCTAGATCTTTAGAAAACCCTTTCGCTTACAGTCTAGTTTCCTGTCACTCATTCACCAGTGAGTTAAGTACTCAGAGCCACAAAACCTTTAATAATATAAAGAATACTATTTTAATATGAAAGAAACATTGGTTATTTTATTATTATTTTTGGAGGCTGGCCAGTATGAGGATCTGAACCCTTGACCTTGGTGTTGTAATACTGCACTCTAACCAGCTGAGCTAACCAGCCAGCCCTGGTTGGTTATTTTATAATTAGCATTACATGTTGTGCCATTCAGCTATATTATTTTAGTAAATAATATTTGTCAATCATTTTTTAAATAATGCTGGCTGTTTTAGGTTCTCTTTATTTTAATAGTAAAGAAATAAAAGTATGCTTACTCTATTATTTCTTTTTTCCACTTAGAAATAGGAAAGATGCCCCGCATGACGTTTTATCTATGCCCAACAAATAGATGGAAAACAATGGATATACCAGGGGAGAGTTTGCATATATTTAATCCCGTCTAGGTAATATTCAGTAATGAACCAATTTTTAAAAAAAAGTTAAAACTAAACTGCAGTTACTTTCTAAGTTTTATAAACTTTTTATTAAAGCTATTCAATAGCAACTTTCTAGATAATTATATTAGGCAATATACATTAGTTTTAATGAGATTCTCCTCTCTATGCTAGAAAGTATGTATTTCACAGTCGTTAAGAAAAACTTGTCAAATAGATGGAAAACAATGGATATACCAGGGGAGAGTTTGCATATATTTAATCCCGTCTAGCTAATATTCAGTAATGAACCAATTTTTTAAAAAAAGTTAAAACTAAACTGCAGTTACTTTATAAGTTTTATAAACTTTGTATTAAAGATATTCAATAGCAACTTTCTAGATAAATATATTAGGCAATATACATTAGTTTTAATGAGATTCTCCTCTCTATGCTAGAAAGTATGTATTTCACAGTCGTTAAGAAAAACTTGTGCAGTTTCTCTCTGTATCTTCCCTCCCAAAAGGATTTAAATGAAATAAATTGCTCCATTCTTCAGAGTAGGACCTGAAAAGCAGCGTATCTTCTATAAAAATTAAGGTAACCAACAATTCCAATTTGCTTGGAATTTTCCATGTTTTAGCATTGATAATGCTGTATCCACAGAAACACTCAGTCCCCAGCAAATCAGGATGTTGGTCACCCTAATACAGGTGGCTTCCCTAGAAAAGATTGTCACATCTTATGCTGTGAATGGAGAACCAGATATATGGTTAAATATTTATAATTTTTTAAAAAGACTTTGCATATCTTCTTCACATCCATATTATTCAGCTCTAGTCTGTCTTTCCCTTTCTTTCTTTCCTGTCATTGTAGTTCTGTGCACCACTGGTGAGCTAGAGGCATGTTTTTCATTCTTGGTTATTTACAGTGCTTTAGTTTTTAATTTTCCTGAAAGAGCTTATCCTGAAAAGGGGCCTACCGTGCCTGACGTTTTGATGGTTTGTTTTGACTCCTCTGCTCACTACTTGTTTACTTTGGCAGCCACGCTATGTCTGCCCACTTCAGCTGAAGAAAATGCCCCACCATAGAATGTCAGAGGTGTTCACTTTGGCAACACTTTGAAAACAGCTCAGCATTACCCTTATTTGGGGCTGTCACCCAGGGCATGATATCACTGTGTGGGTAGCTGTTCATTGCCTGGAACTTTTGCTGATTAGATTGCTCTCTGCATTCGTATCTCATGCTGGGGGACTCATGTATTGCATAGTAAGGAGCTGACTAGACTTGGACTTTTAAATATGAAAAATAAGTAAAGCTGGTTTGCATAATTGATTGGGTTGCTTCTCTTTGAATTTCTTGCATAATTTTTTTTTTTTTTTAAATTCTCCTTATACTGACTTTCTAGCACTCTGGTCTGCTCAAGCTGTGTTATTTCCTAAACAGTTAAAAAGAAAAATTGTCACAGATATGCCGGCTGTGAAATTCTTCCTAGTTGAAAATGAGCCGCATATGTCAGTATTCATTGAGAAACTGAAATTTGCTTTTCTCTGTGCTTTTGAAAGTTTAAAAGTGGTTTTGAATCATCTTCCATCATGTAACTGTCTTTTTAGTAGTGTAAAAGCATAGTTTTTTAGAAATGATTAAGGCTTAAGCAAACAGCCATGTGCTGATATATACAAATTCTATCCATTGGCAAAAAGAAGTACTTTATTAAAATTACTTGTAATTAAATGTGTGCTTAATTGTATCTACAACAAAGTGACAATGTAACATGTAGAACAGCTCAGTAGATATAAAATTGACAGGTTCAAGTTACATCATGCAGTGGGCACTGCTTAGCTGGTTTTGCCCTCCCTGGGCTCTGTAGTCCTGGCTGTGACTGTCTGGTCCAGGTGTCCCTGGAGGGTTCTTTAACTTGGGACTTTATGAAAGCAAGAAAATGACTTTTTGAGACTAACCAAACCCACATTATAGAATGAGATCTATGGAATCGAATTTTACAGTTAACATAAATAAAATGATAAAAACAGCAGACTCCAAATCACATACAATCTAGAACTTGCGAAAAACTCTAGCCTGTAGTGGCTGAGAGTGGTCCTTTGTTCCAGTGCTGCCCAGTTTCCTCGCTCTTCTTCCTGTGTTAACGGGAGTGTATGATTAAAGTACTGAGCATGGATGCTCTTAGGGGTGTAGCTGTTCTTGTCCCCCTCAAGTCAGCACTGTAATGCCACTGTTTATGTCAAAGCATTATGGACAGTTCTCAGATTCTATATTTGTAACTGTTGAAAGATTACATTAGTGGGGTGGGAGGCTTTTGATTGCAAGAGACGAGAAACTCCCTTGGGTTAGTTTAGTGGAAAAGGGAGATTTATTTTAAGAGTAGATGTTGTCTGAAGCTCGAGGAACTAGCTGTTTTTCCTGTCTCTCGTGGGCCATATGGTCTCTTCTTCCACTGTGTCTCTGCTTCTTTTCTGTTTTATTCTCTTCTCTCTACACGTAAAATTCTTTCCCTTACTCATCATTTCCCCTTCCTCATAAATTCAATTTTCACAGGTCTCTTTGGGCCTCCTACATCTATAACTTTAAGCTGCAACTCCAAACGCTAACTGGCTCAGCCTCTTTATTGTTCTTTATTCCTCTTTATTTCGGGGAGGTTTTTATTTTGGTAAAATGAGCTCATAAAAGCAGGTGGTTGGTGGTTGAGGTGGTGGGAGGGAAGGTATTTCAATCCAGCTATTGAAAGTTGGGGTGTACTAACACTTAACCGTGGAATTTAATGGATTTTATGGATTTTAATCCTGTCTCTCCTTCCATACTGAATACTTCTTGAGCACATAGGATAATGTCTATTTTCATTGTCACGGTATACCCACAGTGCCTAACACAAAATAGGTACTGAGTAGATATTTTATGAATGAATAAAATATGCAAAAAAAATCCGAAATCTACTAATAAATGTTCTTGGGGGGACAGTTTTCTACATAAGTTGAACTGGCTGAGTCTTCTCAAACACGGGTCAGTTTGGACTGATGTCAACTTATTCTTCTCCTAGTCCTGCTTGAAGGACCTTCAAACCACTTCCCAATTTCAGGTCACATTTTTCAGTAAAGATTGATGTGATGAAACATTTAAATAGTAAATGTTGGGAGAGAGGTAGTTTCCATGGTGACTTCTGTTTCAAGGAGCCCTTGTTCTAAGCACTGAAGAGAATGAGTCAGCGGAGACATCACCAACTCCATGTCATCCAGTTGTCATTAACCTAAATCCAGCCAGCAGTATCAGTGCCGATGGCAGTAACCCTGTACAGAGGGTTCCTGACTTAAAAAGATTCCACTTAGATGACTTTTCGACCTTAGGGTGGTGTGAGATGGTGCACATTCAGTAGGAACTGTATTTCGAGTTACCTATACAACCATTCTATTTTTCTCTTTCAGTACGGTATTCAATAAAGTACATGAGACATTCAGTGTAGGTGTTGTGTTAGATGATTTTGCCCAACTGTAGGCTAATGTAAGTGTTCTGAGCACATTTAAAGTAGGCTAGACTAAACTATGATGTTTGGTAGGTTAGGTGTATTAAATGCATTTTTGACTTAGGATATTTTCAACTTATGATGGGTTTATTGGGACCTAACCCCAATGTAAGTCAAAAAGCATCTGTATTTGATCCATTAATGGGGAGGTTTTTATTTTGGTAAAATGAGCTCATAAAAGCAGGTGGTTGGTGGTTGAGGTGGTGGGAGAGGGAAGGTATTTCAATCCAGCTATTGAAAGTTGGGGTGTACTAACACTTAGCTGTGGAGTGGCTTTTCTCTTTGCAAGGTTGCCAAGGTTTTCTGACTGTCCCTCCAAAGAGTCTGTGTGTCGGACATAATCTGTCCATGTTCCCAGCCACACTGCAGCAACAGAGAGGCCACTCTGCTCCTTTGGGGTGGAAGAACAACTTGCTGATTATAGGCCTGACACTGAACAAAGTCCTTACTGCCAGAAACATGGACACTAGCAACGTCGTGTGTGAAACCTCACCTTCCCCAATGAAACACACCTTGTTCTTTTTTAACCTTTCCACAAAACGATCTTGTGGTAGCAGAAATCACTGTCGTGTGGTTTTCTAGTATTAACCCTAAACGTTCTTTCCTTATTGTTTTATCATGAGAAAGACAACTTCATTTTCACAAACATTCTGAAAATTATCTAAGTAAATGCTATTCCCTTCAACATAGTTACCTTAAGAGATGAAATGTTTATTCCAATGATATGGTCATTGCCCAAAACGTTTTTAGAACTCTTCTTTCAGTGCCATTAACTTACTTCTCTCATATTCTGAAATGAGTAGAATTCAGCTGTAAAAGAATATATGGATAAAGATGTGAATACATGTATGTTTTCACTATATTTTACCTAGTCTTTTTCTCTAAATAATGAAAGATCTTAATATTTAATGAGCACGCCCATTTTTATGTAGATGCCCACATTTGCATGTGGATAACTGTGCAATTCTTCACTTGCCTTTAATTTTGGAAACTGCCAGGATAACCCCTCAAACTTGATATGAGCTACTAGATATTAGAAATGCTGTTATCTGACTTAAGTGGAAGTTTAGGTTTCATTGCCTAAAACATAAGTGGAAATAAAATGGGTTTTCTTGTCATCTACAGGAAATGTTTGATGTTATATTGGATGAAAATCAGCTGGAGGATGCATGTGAACATCTGGGCGAGTACCTTGAGGCGTACTGGCGTGCCACCCACACGACCAGCAGCACCCCCATGACCCCACTGCTGGGAAGGAATTTGGGCTCAACGGCACTCTCACCATATCCCACAGCAATTTCTGGGTTACAGGTATTGTCACTTTTCCACTCATGCTTTCACAAGCTTACATTTAAGATTCCATACAGAACTTGGTTAGGATGGAGATTGAGGTGGTCCTTAATCTGAAGAGGGATTATATAAAAAAAATCTAAAATATTACCTAATCATTATCTCTCATAAAAAAAAAGCTGCCCAGAGAGTGACCCTTTCCTGAGAACTTCGCTCTCTGTAAATTTATTATGGATTTTGCTTAAATTAATTCCTTTGTGTCTACACCCTACCAGGAAACTTAATGCCTGCTCAGTGCAACTGTCCACTACTTCTACATGGCACTTCTTAAGGTTTATATGGCAGTGAAAATATCAGACACCATGGCTAGCTAGGTGAGATATTTTGGGGCGGATAGGTCTTTTGACTTCCCTTAATTAATCCTGCCGCACAGGCTGTTGACCCTGCCCTCTACCTTGCACAGGACAGAATGTGAACATGAGTTGAGCTGCTCTGTTAGGAAACAGGGTCAGGCCTCTGAATTTTCTTGGTGTGCAGGGGCCCACCTTGGTCAGTGGCTATGGAGAATATCCTTTAGAGAAGTTAGGCACAGGATCAGGAGGTTCTGTCTTCTGCTGTTCTGGTGCTGCATTTGGATGTAGGGAGACAGAGGCATGATGATGCAAAATGAATCTTGCTTTTCTACAATAATTATTATTTACCACTTATCAAGCAGCTGCAGGAATGTAGCCAGACCCCCAGCTGACTGAGAAATATGTAGTCAATTGAGCCTCTTGCATCATGACTAGTTTTGTTTTAATGGGTTATAATGATAGTCATAATTGTAGATCTTGTAGAGTTAACTCTGAGATAAACGGCACTCTCTGAAATGCTGTTATAACTGAATTACTCTGCTACAAAATTGCATCTTTGTAATCAGAAAAGCTGCCATATAAATGAATAGCTTTCGAGGCTGGAAATGAACGTGGGAAATGTACTGTTGTAATGTACAGTATATCTGTATGCACCAGGACTGTTTCTTGCTTTGTTTTTCTGAGATAAACGGCACTCTCTGAAATGCTGTTATAACTGAATTACTCTGCTACAAAATTGCGTCTTTGTAATCAGAAAAGCTGCCATATAAATGAATAGCATTCGAGGCTGGAAATGAACGTGGGAAATGTACTGTTGTAATGTACAGTATATCTGTATGCACCAGGACTGTTTCTTGCTTTGTTTTCCTTCCTGTGTGCTGATCTGAGTGTAGCAGTTCTATTGGGTAATTTGAGTTGGCTCTGAATGGGACATTGTGGGATGAGAAATGGATGCATGAAGCGATAAGCTTCTGCAGTGTAGGTAGAAATGGAATGTTGCACTTGGTGGATGCAACACTCTTGACTCATCATTTCTTCATCCACCTAGAATGGTTCTCCCAGTTTCACTAATGAGTTCATGTCATGTCCCTTATCCTGTAGCCTACTTCTCCCAGTAACCACTGGCACTTTTGTTTGAAACCTGGCTAGAGTTAAGATTAGGGTTAAGTCATTCTGTGACCCATCGAATGAGTTTCCTTCTGTGTGAAGTTGAGTGTACTTTAGAGAAGATATATCCGGGCCCATGGTTTCATCAGGATTATGTTCCTTTACTGAGGTGACCTACCTAAGCTGGTAGACACGTTTCCCCACAGTGAAGAACAATGTTGAATAACATTTCCTGAGTCATCAAATAAGTATCTTAAGATGTTAATTTCAATTAATGGTATTAGAGGAATTTAGTTTATATCTGAAAATTATTTTTGCAGAACTTTTCAGTGGAGGAAGCAAGATTTATAAGAGTATCATTAGAGGGGCGGCCCGGTGGCGCACTGCTACAGTGCGCTGCTTGGGAGCGTGGCGGCGCTCCCGCCGAGGGTTCGGATCCCACATACAGACCGGTTCCCGCTCACTGGCTGAGCAAGGTGCGGGAGCAACACCGAGGGTTGCGATCCCGTTGCCGGTCCCGATCCGGTACGGGCACGACACTGAGGGTTGCGATCCGTTGCCAGTCACGAAAAAAGACAAAAAGGAAAAAAAAAAAAAAGAGTATCATTAGATAGCTCCATAATTATTATGTACTCCTTTGGAAAGCATATTGCTGAGAGTCTTATATTTATGAAGGATGAAGAAACAAACTATTTTATGGATAGCACAAATAATTTTATTAAAATATTTTTTGAAGGTACAAGGAACATACAGCTAAATTAAGGTGGACTGTGTGGCTTTATGAAGAGAAAGATTTTATCAGTTTAAGACAGGAGTAAAATAATAGATGCTATTCTGAACTTTATTTCCCAATAGTAAAATAATCCTCATTTTTGCAATAGAAGTGGAATCATTAGGCCTCTCCAAATATATTAAGTTCCATTTAACAATTAACTTTCAATTTTATATTTTTAATAAGAAGTGTAGTCATGCAACACTATGTAATTAAATTCATAAACTATCAACACTGGCATCTTTGCATGTTGTGTCCCAAATAAATAAAGCCAGATATTTTGAGCAGACCATTTGTGCATCAGAACGCTTTATTGTCAGATATTTAGCATTTTATTGTTCAGACCCTATTATTATACATACATTAACATGTTTAGATGAATAAAGCTGACATTATTTAATCAAAGAACCTATCTTATATTTTTAGAGTCAGCGAATGAGGCACAGCAACCACTCCACAGAGAACTCTCCAATTGAAAGACGAAGTCTAATGACCTCTGATGAAAATTATCACAATGAAAGGGCTCGAAAGAGCAGGAATCGCTTGTCTTCCAGTTCCCAGCATAGCCGAGATCATTACCCTCTTGTGGAAGAAGATTACCCTGACTCATACCAGGACACTTACAAACCCCATAGGAACCGAGGATCACCTGGGGGATATAGCCATGACTCCCGACATAGGCTTTGAGTCTGCCAAAACAACAACAACAAAATCATCTGTTGACAATTTGCCATAGCACTGCTAGGATAAACCAATCATCTTAACTTGGCAAGCATAGCACAGTATTTACTGTGCTTATGGGCTGCTGTCATTTGATGCTAAGTAAGGGGCCAAAAAAAAATGTACATTATGCCCTTGAATCTATGGATGGATGTTAGATGCCCAATCATATAGATATTTTTAAGTGCAACATTTCCATAATAACAGTACTTTTTGTTTTCTTCATAGATTTAGACACATCAGTTTGTAATTTAGGGTACTTATCAAGGCACATATAAAATAATTTCCCATGCTGGAAATTCCAAATGAACAGTTCCAGTTGGAACCAATTTATAAACCAATTCCTGTTGGAATTTGGGTGAATTGACTAGAAAGTCTACTTGAGCATGTTGCAATCAATTGAAAAATTTGAAAAAAAAAATAATAAGAAAATCAATACCAATACAAGCTAAAACCAGCTATGGTATTTATTTGCTGGAAGTTAAATTTACACTTAAAGTTGGAATGTATAAACATTTTAATATATGTTAATGTTGCCAGAATGACTTTTCAAACTTACCAAATGTATTGATATTGCCAAAAAAAAACTCAGAAATCTTAATGCAGAAATTATATAGTCTCCTCAGATTTTAATACTTTTATTTCTTTCCTGGCACAGCTGTTGTATTTAAAGTGTTTTGCCTTTTGTTTAGTCAGTACTGTTAGCTCGTTTGAAGGTGGCAAAAAAAAAGCTCAAAGTTTTTTCAGCAATGAGAGAGAATAGTAAAGAGAAACCCAAACATAACTGATTATATGAAATGGAAAATGAGGTGTTGTTTTCTTTTTAATCTGAGCACAACTGCATACATCCAGAGATCTAAAGTCAGGTAGTAAGGATGTGGTAAGATCCTCCTGAGTGCAAAGCTAAACACTTTCAGATGGGAATTCATCTATCCCACCAAACACAAACACGGGGTTAGTACTCCTGCCAGCACAACCAAGTTTCTTTCCACTGCTTTACTCAGTCTTTGTCTTTGAATATCTGAATGTTCTAGCTCTCCATCAAATTCTTTAAATCATACTAAGGATTTTTGTTTTACATGGACTACATTCAACTTTGATACTGAAAGCTGTTACAAATGATGAAAAGTTTGCAGTGAAAAATAAACTCACAGATTAAGAAAATATATGTTCACTAAAACTATAACATTTTTAATGCAGAGAATGGTAAAGAATTTGGAGACTGAGCTGCCTGTTTCTAGGGAGCACTTCTCTTCACCTGTTAAATCTTCATAGTTTTTCCAGTGGCCGTAATTATGGAATTGGTGAACAATGTCTTATATTATCAAGGAAGCCTTAGATTCACTATGATCCAAGAAATTATTGAAATTGACCCTTTTATACAATACACAAATGTCTTTACAAAATGACTCATTTCTGAAAGTCCACAATGCATGCGTTTTCTAAAACCCCAATAGGACCAGGCATAAAAGTCCTTTTTTTCTGGTACATGTCATTAAGCCTATTTTTGAAAACAATAATAATTAATTTTGTATTACGTTATTTTTCCCTCAGTATTAGGCTTTCCTTTCAGTATTTAGGCTCTCAAAGCATGCACCAGTTCAATAATTTTCCTGATCAGGAGAATAAGTTCCACGTTCTTGATTAGTTACACCTATCTTGAACCCCATTATGAGCTCGCCACATGCCCTCCTCATGTTCACTGTGTGTACCCCATTAAGAACATGTTTAGCTGATAATGAGGATACCTATTTTATAAGTCATCGCAAAAGTTTGATACAATTAAAAAATATGGGCTCAGTAAATTTTAAAAGGTAACGTGATACTGGCTTTCGAGGTTCTTTTGTCATCTAGTGAAGCTTTCAGAACTTTCAGTTTAGACATTTAAAAGAGCTGTATCCATTAAGCACTTTAATAAACATATAACCTGCCATTACTGAATACTTTGTTAGAACACGGAAGAGCATTTTCCAGCAAACAAAAATATATTTATTACATGTACAGCACATATTTGCATGAGAAAGAAAACATTAGCCAAAACATTTTTCTATATGCTTTACTGGTTTCTTGTTTGTGCGCATTAAAGTATTTAATTGCAAAGAGTGCACCAAGGTGTATACATTTAAACTAGACAACCGTTCAGCCTTTTCTGTAGTAGTGTTAACAATTTGGTCATTTAACTACTTTAAGATATTTACATTTTATGGCAGGTAGCTGTAACAGTATTTACATATATTTCCTAATCAACAAGATTACCATCTTCTTTCAACTTTTTAAAAGTTACTTGTTTTTAAAGGCCTCTCAAAACCTTGTTTCTAGTCTTCCGTGTCATGCTGATAAAGAAAGAGGCCCATTCAATGTCTGTGCACAAAACCAATCTACCGTTTACCATCAAATGTCCATGCCTGTTTTGCTTTGCATTCTTATTCAAAAGCTAATAATATTGGAAAGGGTATAATGTATATTTTCTTGATGGATATACTGAAATGTTTACTTTAATTTGGCATATTGTTTCTCCTTCCTTTTGTAATAAGTTTATCTTCTCCAAATGAATAATAGATATGCATCTTTCTTTTTTAAAAGCTTTAGAATTTATTGTATAAATGATACTAAAATCCAGATATATACTAAGTGAAAAGGTTTATTTTTGCCAAGCACACCAAGCACCTTTGGAAAGTACATATTCCACAAATACTTTGTTTTTAATTAATTTCATTTACAAATAGCAAATTATTATAAGCAGGAGAAATAAGTCTTAAACTGTTTCAAAGCTGTTTTAACTAGAAGTATAAATCATGTCTTAGAATCATGTAATGTCAGTCAGCAAGCATGTAAAAATGTAGACTCATGTGACAATGTGGAAATGTAGTGCAGGAAAAAAAAGAATGCAGTTTGTGAAACCTGATGTTAATTCTCAAGGCTATAATGTGACTCCAACATTTAATCAAAAATGTTATCTTCTTTACTCCAGTATTTAAAACAACACTTAGAAATGTTTATAAATGACTGATGGTTCTCTTATCTTTATACAGTTCTATTGGAAAGAAGATTGAAATTGTTAACAATTTAAACTGATGGTCTTTCCTAATAAGAGAGTCTTAATTTTGTGACAATATAAGTCATTACATTTAGTCCTGAATGAAGTGAATTTTTTAAATGTGAAACAAATTTTGAGATAATTATTTGTTCCCTTTAAATAATTTGTTATTTACTTCAAATATTATTGTTCTTGTTTGCAAAATATATTTTTGGAATGTTAACCTCTTTTCATACCTGCATACTTGAACTTGTCTTTTATGTGGGGGCCTTAAAATTCATAATAGGAAAGGGTGGCAATGAAAGGGAGAGAGAAAAGGAAATTATGCCAAAAGATTGTTTGCAAATTTAAACTCTTTTTAATGAACATATCACAAAATGTTGTTGAGACCCAGGATGTCAGTTAAGGAAGTTTTTAGGCAACCTTAATTTGCATGCCGGTGTATTTTCCTAGTTTACAATTTTATTTTGGTATTTGCTGAAAAATAAAACAATGTAATACTAGTACCACTATAGAAATTGCCCTATATATTGATATTTATACTACCTCTTCTCTAGAGAAGACAATCTGTCTTTAAAGGGAAAAACACTTGTCAATAAGTAGTGATCAAATGTATCACTATTACTGCTAACCTTGCTGCAAACTAAATGCATAAAGTGTTAAAATATGCCTTCTCTTTAGATTTTAAACTGTTTCCAAATGCTCTTGTCACCCTTTCATTTCTTCCTTGTTAGTGAAGTTTTCTTTGAGTGGAGTCAGTTTATCACGAGGAAAGTTATTTTAACAATAAGTCATCATAGGGAACAAAACAAACTGCAAGGGGATTGCCTTTGTGTGTGACTTGTTATAACATCTAGCTCTAAGTATAAAAGAAAGTGGGTCCAAAACTTGATGTTTAAGTGCAGCTGGTTTGCAAATTCAAATTTTGTTGATCGTTGACTTCTGCTATCAACACCCAGAGTATGACTTAGCTATTTACTGGGTAAGGATATACATTATCTTGGAAACCCATGTAATTGGAACAAACTTCATATTGATGTTTCAAATAAATGCTTATGTACTCCTTTTTCCTTTCATGTTTTTGCCTTTGTCTTTCATGGACAATGTTGCATGTTGTTTTTTTAAATAATATAAATCTCATCCTTGAATGACTATATGAATGAAAATTTTATAGGAAATTATGTAATAAAATCTGTTTCATTAATTTCTCATACCTTTTAATACTGTTACTAAGTTACTCAAGCTGTGTCTGTGGGGCAGAGAATAGTTCTCTTTTAATGATCCTCATGATCAAACCAGTCAATACAAATAGCTGTTTGACAGACAGTAAGGATAACTTTTTCCTTGTTGACTTATGCAGTCAAGTCAGTCAAATTAATAAAATTGGTTTATATGAGCAGACAGAGCTACAGCATTCAAAAATTATTTTTTAAAGGTTTCTTCTTTTATTAAAATAGTCTTTCTCAAATGAAATACATCCTCTGATATCAACTATCTCTATTTGTGGATGATTTAATCCCAAATGCTTCATGTTATTGGGGTATATTATGAGAAGACTAGAATGTATCTCATCAGATAATCTTAATTTTTTAAAGGTTTCTTCTTTTATTAAAATAGTCTTTCTCAAATGAAATACATCCTCTGATACCAACTATCTCTATTTGTGGATGATTTAATCCCAAATGCTTCATGTTATTGGGGTATATTATGAGAAGACTAGAATGTATCTCATCAGATAATCTTAGCTAAGGGCTGTAACTCCCACTTGTTATGAAAAACATATGAATAAGTGAATATAGATGAGTTCTGGGAGTCATAGTTACATATAAAACTTTTTATGATGTATAAAATATTTGCAGAAAGATGGTAGGAAATGTTGCTAATGTATTTAGGGTGATTTGGGTAATACACTGATACTTCCTCATTTGAAAATTATAAGGAGTTAAAATGAGAACTAAGAACCAAAAGTAGCTGGCCTCTCGCTTTTCAATATTCTGTAAGTGTTCTTGGTTATGTGTTGAACACAAGTTTTTCAACAAATCACTATGTCTATGTTTATGTAGGGGCCCCTCTTGCCCTACCTGCATGCCACTTTCACACACTTTTAACTGAAATCAGTGTGAATTCTGTATGCATAAGGTATGTATTAAAGATATGGGATCATTAATGCTATATTGTTGCTACTATTTTTCATATGCCTTACAATATTTTCTGGGATGTTATTAAAATCAAAGCATTTTATTGCCAAAATAAATCTATGTTGTTACTTCTAATCTGCATTAGCAGTAGAAAAATAATGTAGCAAAACATATATTGTACAGTACAAAATTATAAAATATATATATATTTTGCCAATAATATGAAATTAGATTGAGGAGAAAGAAGCACATTTGTTATAGCACAAACTTACAACAAAATCCACTGTTAAATTTGGCAGTCATATTTTTTAAAAGTGTATAGACTTAGTTCTAAGTTTTATCAGATTTATTTCATCTACCATCTTTTCAACTTGCTGCTTGATACTTTTCCAGCAATTTATTTCATAGCCTTGCAATCTGTGGGTGTAATTTTTAAAATTTTATTTTGTGATAAGTCTCATACTATACTTTCTGTCCTTATTTCTTCTCCTTCAGTAGCAACTACAAAAAGTTACAGTAAGTGAGCTTGTAGGGCTCCTCTGAATTTTGGACATATTCAAAATTTTTTATATTTTTCATAGCCTCAAGTCAGAGTGATCAATAAAGATGTCCCAACCAAAAAATATTAGTTAGGGATTCTTTAACTGGCTTTGTACTGACTATTATTTTGAAACATTATTTAAAGCCATTAGCTATGTTTTTGAAGGGAATGGCTGGAGGGAATAAAAAATAGATAAACTTATTAGTATAAAACATACTAAAAATAAATATGGCAAAATGACGTAAAAATATTTTTCCTATTCTTCAGAGGGCTGTCAATATACCAGGCTATTGCTATATCTCCAGTGATAAAGTGGGGAAAAAATTGCCTTTATCAGATATTTTTTTTCTTTCCTTAAATTTGAGTTATTTATTTTAAAAATTTATCCCTTTTTATTTTTCTTAAATATGGGTATGTGTAGCATTTTACAAGGCATGCTGGGTAAAATATACTATGCAAATGTGTACAGTGTTGCATGTTTTGTTCTTCCTCTGCTTTAGTGGCTTTAAAGAAAAAAATGTGTTGTTATTTTTGTGAACAGAAACATTTAACAAAGAAAATGCAGAGTGCATGCATATAGTATCCTAATTTCTATGGATTTGTTTTATGGAATTTAAATGTGTATAAAACAACTGCGTTAATTTTTTTCTTTTATATAATAAATGAAAAAACATTGAAACCAGCGTTACACCTCTCCTTTATATTATTCTAGAGAGATATTGAAGAAATACTGGAAATCAATGGTATATTCTTGTATCTCTTAGAGTAAAAAAAAGAAGTCTAAATATTTATCCTTAAAAAAAACTCAATTAATGACTTCTGAATATTCTAAGTGCTATGAGTGATCACAGAAGCACTGTATTAGAGTTTGTAAATTAATCACCCACATGAAATAGAATATATTAATATAAATGTGTGAAATAGGATTGAATACAATATAAAGATATTAGATAAACCTTATTGTTATCAAGATACCCCTAAGTGATTACTCAGAAGTTTCCAAAGCTATTTTGTACCTGAGAGAATTCTGTGGGTGGGATATAGCTCATGACTTGACATTTTGTGTACTCAGAGTTAGGTGTTGATGCTATGAGTTAACTGGAATTTCACTTATCTCTCTCTGCACTGTACAAGAAGTTCAAAAGAAATATGTACTATGTTGATTATTATCATTGCATTAGAATGATAGTGATTTATTAGAGCCAAATTATTTCACAAACATTTTCACACTTAATCCATCTGACTACCCTGGAAAGTAAGCAGGGCATGGATTATTAGAACCAACTACAAATGAGGAAACCAAAGCTCATGGGAACTTTTCTCTCTAAAGTACTTTTCTTTAAAAATACATATATTAAATGTTTTAAAGCTAGCTAGTCATCTGAAGCATACACAACAATACCTGGAATACAATAAATGTTCACTGAATGAATGGTACCTCCATTACTGGAAAGGTATATAAGGCTGCCCCAAATATCAAAGCATTTCAATCAACAACTTGAAACTCACAACTGGAAGAATTAGTGTAGTGTAGCTCACTATCACTACATCCACCGGCCATATGCCTGAAGCCATCTCTTGTCATCAGCACATTTCCACTAATACAGCAGATTGTGAAGAGAAACATATTGTTTGTCCCTTAATATAAGATGCAGATGAGCTTAGTGGTTAGAGGACTGACTCTAAACCTTGCCTGGGTTCAAAGCCCAGATCCAGCAATAACTAGCTATGAGCTTGAAGCAATCACTTAACATCCCCATACCTGAATCTGTTCCTATAGAGTGATTTGTCTTTCAGTTATAGGTCACATATCCTGTTTCCTTTCATGTCTGTATTTTTTTAATTGGATTTAGGACATTGTAAATTTTACATGGTTGATGACTTGATCTTGTGTTCCTTTAAAGAATGTAGGACTTGTTTTGGCAGGCAATTGTGGATTTGTTTGGCACTTTCAAGGTTTGTTCTTAAGCTCCCTTGGGACTGAGCTTATTCTAGGGTAGGGCTTGTTCTTAGGCTTAGTTAGCTCCTTCTGAAGTCTCTGGATGTCTATGAGTTCTCATCACTCTGGCTGAAGGGAACTCAAATGATTCCTGGCCCTTCGTAACCTCTGGGAATTACTTATTTTACAGCTCCCTGATATTCGTTTTTTCCTCAGAAATTGTTCTTGGCCAGCCTCCTGGGGTTTCCAACTACACAAATACAGGTTGATAGGCAGCCAAAGACTCAATGGCTCCTTGTGCAGGTTTCTAGAGCTTTTCTCTGTATAGCTTCTTCCTTTCAGTTACTCTGCTTCACAAATTCTAGCCACCTTGGTCTCTGGGAATGCTGATCTATATCTCCAACTCTAGAAGAATGTCAGATTCTTATTTGGGTTCCCACTCTCTCTGTAGGTGGCTGGGAATTGCTTCCAGGCAGAAAGTCCAAGCAATAGTAAGACACATCTAGTTTGTTTCTCTTTTGTAAGGGAGCATAGTCCTGTGCTATGTGTTTTCCAGTATTTGAAAACAACTGTTTCCTATATTTTGTCCAGTTTTCTATTTGTTAATGTTAGGAAAGTAAATCCAGACCATCCTACTCTCTCATGCCTGCAAGCAGAAGTCTCTCCAATGATATTTTGCACATCACTATAATTATGAACAAATTAGTCTTTAAAAGGTCTCAGAAAGAGTCTGTTTTCACAAATAGTTTCACACTATTCAACAAAGATTCCTAATTACTTCTATAATAGTTCCAAATCTGTATTTTACCTATGCATCACATAGTTGGACAAGATTATAAAATTCGCTTTTTCTTTTTTTGAGAGACTCTTGGAAAATAATCTGGGAAAACATCTTCTTAATGTAGACTGTAAAATATGATGTCCTAACTTCACAAGTTAATATGGCTATGAGATCCATTTAATAAGTTGACAGAGATGTGTGGGAGTTTGCAAAATGTCTCAGAGCTTCATTACCTACAGTGTGTGAGAATGGAAATATTAGAGTTAATGCAACTTGGTTATGCAAACAATATAGTTTTTCTTAACAGCCTACAGAGTACTTTTTTAAGTAAATCCAGATGTAATAATCCACAAACTAATATGAATTACTACAATGATTTTCTTTCTCTTCTCTTATGACTTTTCTAAACTGGTTTTTTGCCATAGCATGGTGGCATGTACCTGTAGTACAAGTTACTTAGGAGGCTGGGGCTGGAGGACCTCTTGAGCCCAAGATTCTGGGCTGTAGTGCGCTATGCCAATCGGGTGTCTGCACTAAGTTCGGCATCAATAGGGTGACCTCCTGGCAGCAGGGGACTACCAGGTTGTCTACGGAGTGAACTGGCCCAGGGTAAAAACAGACAGGGTCAAAATTCTGGTGCAGATCAGTAGCGGGATCTGGCCTGTGAATAGCCGCTGCAATCTAGCCTAGGCAACATAGTGAGACCCCATCTCTTAAAAAAACAAAATTAAAAAAAATTAAAATTAAAAAATAAAAATAAACTTTGGCTTTTTAACCATAAGTCCCAAGAGAAGTCAAAGAAATTACTTTTCTGTATATTGAGATAAGACGGTATATGGCTAGAAGTGTGGTGAAAAGGTGTAGTTTATCGTCGATATTACAACTCCCCCACTTCTTTCTCTCTTCCTTTTTACCAAAGTCAAGGAAGATAGATGGGGATGGAGCTGTTTCTGGTTTCTTTGTGGAGGAAAAGTAAACAACTCCTCCAGTTTCTTTTCCCACCTCTTGCCTCTAACAAGAGTCAGAACTAATTATCATAGTCATCAGATGACCTAGAATCAAAGGCCTCAGAGATCAATCCTCTGCTTTCATGGAAAATTGAGGCCTGGAGAGGTTAGAGGACTTTCTCAGCTAAAAATTAACACATGGAACAAGAACTCTGATATCAAATTACCTAATGATTCACTTAAATACTGTAGTTTTCAACCAGATAGCCCACAGTACAGGGTTGACTAAACACAATGGGACACTTTTATAGCATGGGCCACAGCTGTTCAAGGTAAGAAGACTGGAAGAGCAGAAAGAATATTTGACCAGCTGTTTCACAAGAACTAGACTCTTGGAGTAATGGGAGTTAGAGGTGGGACCATATTGCAGAGAATAATGAGCATCTGCCAAAGGTATCTGGACTCTCCTGCTCAGGCAGCTTTAGTGGCCACTAACAGGGGAATTACCTGATCAAAATCATTGCTTTGGGCAAGATTGATCTGCGAGTGGAAGGAGACTGTAGAGAGAAGAGCTGTGACGTACAGAGAGCCATAAACTCGTGAATGCCTACGTAAGGTCATTGAATCAGCAGCTGGGTGTTAGGGGGCAAGAGGCTTAAATGAGAAAGATCTTAAGCGTCCCTCAAAGACCCTTCTGGAACACCATGTCGTCGAGGGTCAGGACGTGGGACTTTTGGTGTACTGCCTGTGAAGGGTTGGGGATGGGCACTGGGCACAGTGCACTCAACTATTACATGTATGGCTCTATGGAGGAAACTCAAGGAAAACGTAAAAACTCGGTGGGGGGGGGGACGGTCGCAACAGCAAGCAGTCAAGAGCCATCTGCTCCAACTCACAGCCCGCAAAGCCTCAAACCCGGTGTACAGAATGGCCGCCTTCAGGTCTCTCCACCGTGCAGAAAGACGAGAGCCAGCAAGGCGCCCCTTCCCAGGCTCCGCCCCTCCGGTCGCACGCCTGCGCACTCCGTCCCGCTGGCAGCGGCGGGGCCTCGCGCGCGGCAGGGCGGCCTGGGCTTCGGCCTCCCTCCGGTTCCCTGGAAGCGGGCCGGCAGCCAGCGCGGGAGCAGCAGCAGCAGAGGCGGAGGCTCCAGCGCGTCTCTCTCCCCTTCAGCCTGAGCCAGAGGAGGCCAGGCTGCCTGGCTGACTGGAGAGGGGTCCGCTGCCCGAGAATGGGAATTCTCTTCACCAGGATATGGAGACTGTTCAATCACCAGGGTGAGGGGCTCGGGCCGCGGGCGTATGGGTGGGGGAGCGGGCCAGCCCTGGCCGGGGAGGGGGGGGGTCTCGGAATACTTCCGGAATGTGGGCGGCGCGGTCTCGGCGCGGGGCGCGGGGCGCGGGCTGCGCCGAAGCGGGCCCGGGACCGTTCAGTCCCCAGTCCCGAGCTTGGGGATGGTTCCCAACTCGCAGCCCTTTGCCTTAGGGGACCTTACTAAGAAGTCTGTTCCTCAGTACACCCATTGCTCTGATTTCGATTGCGAGTGGAGAAGGTTTCTTGCCCCGAGTCCGACGTCCCTGAGATGCGCGACCTGGCCTGTGTTTCAGCCCTTTTTTCCGCCAGCAATTGGGTTTGGACACCACGGAGAAATGCTGGGGTCTTCTGAGATGAAGGTTGTAGGTGATGGCCTTAGCTGCACTACCGAGCGACCAAGGGGTGCAGAATGTGGAAAACGTGAGGAATCGCCCTTGAGTTGTACAGCACACCTCCGGTTTATGAGCCTTCCTTACCATCCCCACCCCTCTAGGGGAATGGTGGGGGATTCTGCCTCCTGAATAGTGTTGGACTTCTCTCCATTTGCCTTATTTTACCTGTGTTTAAGGTTAAGCTTAAGGTAGTTTTCCTAATTGTGTGGATTAATTAGAGTGGTTTTTTTGCTTTTTTTTTTCCCTCTCTGAGTTAAAAATGTTAAAGTGGTTCATTTAAAAACCATACCATATGAAACATTTGTTAACCGTAGGAAACTAGCAAATTACTAAGTATAGAGTGTATTATCATATAGGGACGCTTAAGCTCATCTAATCTCAAACATTGCTTTGAAATGCATATCGGATTTGTTAAAATTGGATACAGAATGAGTGTGTAAAACTGGGGAAAGGATACAATTTTAACAAAAGACGCTGTAGTTATTAAGATACAATGTGGTGGTGTACTTTTGTTTCTTTTTAACTCAAGTTGGGTGATTCATCATTCCTGCTGTCAGTAACTTAGTTTGTGAGTTTGTGTTTTTCTCTTGTGTAAGCAGGTGGTGGTGGTACTTTCCAAAGGTTTCCAGTAAAGACAAATGAATGGTGGCCTCTATTATGTACACCCACTACCCCCACCTCCTCCTTCATGATCAAGCTGCTCTTGTAAGAAGGTAATGAGAAGGGTGCAGAACTGGAACTTGTTAAGAGCAGTATATTACAAATGATTTTTCATAAAGTGGAGAAAACCAGTTCTAATCAATACTGTTTGACTGGCAGTTTGTGTTGGAAGAGGGAGAATGGGAACCAGTCACTTAACCTTTCTGGGTCTAGGTGTTCTTACTGAGAACACCAAAGATCTGTAGAGCTGACACATCTTCAAAACTTAATCTTTAGGTTTCAAGTATTAAAACTTACATTGCTGTAGGACTGGTGGTGCTTATAGTAGACAAAATCTATTCTAGTTTTAACATCCATAATTTTGTATTATTTTTAGCAAAGCTAGTGTTTCAACTCTGCTATGAGGTTTAGAAAGACTTTGCTTGTATTTTTTTTGTGTGTGTGACCGGTAAGGGGGATTGTAACTCTTGGTGTGGTGTTGCCCACACCGCACTCAGCCAGTGAGCTCACCGGCCCTATACAGGATCTGAACCCGCGGCCTCAGTGCTCCCAGCGCCGCACTCTCCCGAGTGAGCCACGGGGCGGCCCAGACTTTGCTTGTTAATTGAGCTCTAGTACTGACAGAAAAGTAGATATCTCCACTTTCTATTTTGAGTCAATGATAAAATTATTTGTTTCTGTAAGTTAAGAATGAATTAGAGCTTTGCCAACATCTGCTTGCCAGTAGTAAATGATAAGGACATGGGCATTGATGGCACTACAAAATGCTAATAGTGTTCTTCAATTTTTGTTCTCTGGTAATTTTTGACTGGACATTTATTTCAGTGTTGGGAAATTAATAAGAACAATTAAGTCAGATTCTAGAAAGTTAGATGTCAGTGTTGTGAAAATGTCAATAAAGTATTTCTGTTCTGCTAACTGATGTGATTGTCTTATCTGTGGGGTCACTTTTCAAAATATTCAATCTAATGCCAGGTACTTGTTGGTCTTCTTGGTTAACTTGGATATATTTTGGATGCTTTATTTTAACTACACAAGATTCAGAACACAATTCCTATATTCTTTTCATGGAAACTCTTGGAAAAAAGGTATGGGAGGATTACAGAATTTGCCTGCTGATCAAACTTAAACTATGCCATCTCTCTTTTCTGAAACTCCTTTAGAACAGCCTTTTCATTTAAAACTTAGATTGAGAGCACAGTGAAAGCTAATTGCATACTGCTCAAACTAGAAAAACCAGGGGTGAGATTGAATAGAGTACAAACTTTATCCTAGATACTGTCATTTATATCATCTTTTAAAAAAAAAAAATGTTTCAACAGTCCTTTGAAGTAGTAATTTCCCCTGAACAGAGGAAACTGAGACTCAAATGAGTGATTTTACCAGGCCATACTGGTATATGTCAGAGCCAGGCAAGTTAAAACACTGGAAGAATTTACTTATTGTTGATATTCTTAAGAGATTGACATCATTTTTTTCTTAGGATTTTTCTCCCTGTTAACTTTTTCTTAGTAACTAAATTGTAAGTCTTTATAACTTTGTGACCTTGAAGAGTTGCCATTAGTGACTTTTTGTATAGAAGGGTTTGTGATCATTGGTTTATTTGTTTATTAAATATTTGTTGAGCACCTCTTTGGGCCAGGAACTGTTCCAGGTGATGGGAATAAGGCAGGGAGCAAAACAGACAAGTCCCCCTGCCTTCTTGGAGCTTTCATTGTAATGTATGGAGACAAAGTAAACTCGCTCCATCTCTACAGATAAAATAATAGAAGTTAACGTTTACTGCTCGTGCAAGTTTAAGTTGTAGATATTTCGCACAGGTTGATATACTTTTCACAACAGCCCTTCAAGATAGATGTTATTCTCTGCATTTTAGAGGGGCAAAGATATTAGGCAGCTCGCTTAAAGCGCTGCAATTAAAAGTGATAGACCCAGAATTTTAACCAAGATTGTCTAGTGTCATAGTTGGTGCTCTTAAACAACAACAACAATTTTCTTTGTATAAGAAGGATTCATGTTAAAGGAGGAACTTTCTAATACTGATGAGAATTGTGAAAAAGCTGTGGAATTTCCCCATGGATAGCCTTTTATTGCTCTTCTGATTGATTAGACATAGAATTATAAGTTATGAATGAATGCTGGGGAAGCTGCCCATGATGTAGGAAACTGGCACCAAGGGAGCTACTTCTGCTTCTGTCCTTGTTTTGTTTTTTATTGTAAAGGAGTTCAAACGTGTAGAAGTATACATATGAAAACTGAGTAACCAAGGGGTGGACTGTGCCAGCTATTAAAGTATTGCCTCCCAGCTTCAAATAAACCTTTTTGCATGCTCTGGAAATGGAACTGGATTCTTTAAGTATTTTTCTTTTGCCAGCTAGCACAATGTTAAGCTTTGTTAATAAGACAATACTGGAGGGACACCACAGGAGGAAAGGATTTTTCTTGGTACTGTGTACCCTCTTGACAGGCTCTCCTTGCAGCACAAGCACCTCCAGTGCCTGGCTTTTGCACTGCATAGTGATCAGCAGCAGCTTCCTCTAGATCGCCTCAGTTGGTTTCATAATGGAGGGCCTCCACTGAAATCCTTGCAATGAAGAGTTTTCCACAGCAGCCTAGAGGGAGGATTTCTAGCAAGTCACACTGGCACCTCACCTCAGCTACTTCTCCGCCATTCAGTGAGCCATGGTTGTGCCTTCTGAAAAGGTCTGCATCTCAGTCCCGAGGTGGTGGGAGGAGCTCTATCTTGGCCCTAGGGGTAGTGGAAGCTCCTTATATTTGTCATTCCTATAATCTTTTAAGTTCTTTCATTTCTTATTAGCCAATCCCTCATTATTCTAATCCCCTGTAATAATTATTTTCTTTATATTAAACTTTCTATGTTCAAGTTATTGTATGGTTTCTGTCTCCTGAATGTATCTCTAATTTTGCCATGTGTAGTCATTGCTTTTTCTTGAGTAACCTCGTAGTACGAAAGAAAAGTTTGGTTTTGTGATATTTTGAAATATAGTATATGTTTGGTTTTTGTTCCTATTCCTTTCCTGGCATACAACTCCTAAAATCCTTAGAATCTCCAAGGTGCTGTCTTTCTGTATGCTAATGAGTTGACTGATGGCTGGCAGCTACTAGGTAGCTTCAGGATGGGAGCTGGTAACTGGAACCAGCAAGGCAGAATTAGAGAGTTGGGACTTTCAGCCCCAACAGCAGTCTGAAGGTTAAGTTGATCACCAATGGCCAATGACTTAATTATCATGCCTGTGTAGTAAAGCTTCCATAAAAAGCTAAAAATTGGGTTCGGGGAGCTTCTGGAGAGCTGAACACATCAAGTTCCTGAAGGGTGATTTGCCTAGGGAGGGCATGGAAACTCCATGCACCTTCTTCCACACCTTGTCCTATCCATCTTTTCATCTGTATCCTTTGTAATAAACCAGTAATCCCAAGTGTTTCTTTGAGCCACTCAAGCAAATTAATTGAGCCTAAAGAGGGAGGAGGGGGTTGTGGGAACCTTGATTTATATAGCTGATTGGTTAGAAGTTTCAGAGGCCTGGGCTTGTGACTGGCATCTGAAGTGGGGGGACAGTCATGGAAACTGAGCTCTCAATCTGTGGGATCTGACAACTGTCTCCAGGTAGATTGCATCAGTATTGAATTAAGTTGAAGGACACCCAGCTGGTGTTTGCTGAAGATTTGCTTGCTTGCTGGTGTGACATTGGTCACAGAAATCTGTCTTCTGTGTTGATTGTTTTGTGAGAGTGCTGTGGGAAAAATTGAGAATATTTTTCCCTCAGGTTTTTTTCCTGAAAGTTTATTACTATTGATATGAAAAGCAAGTTTATTTTGAAACTTTTTTTTTTATTGATGATACTTTTAAGTTTTGAAAATTGAATTTTTAATAATATAAGTAACTTGATCAT